GGCCCCCCGGGGGCAGCTGTTGCTGAAACTGACCAGCAGCAGCTGAATCAGGGACTCCTGGGGCAGAGCCTGACTATCGTAAGGGGGGGGCTATGAGGGGTCTGGGGTGGCATCCCCTCCCACCCCACTCCAGACCCCTCATAGCCCCCCCTTCTGATAGTCCGGCATATCTGATAATCCGGCACCCCCTGGGTCCTAAAGGTGCCGGATTATTGGAAGTTTACTGTATTAGGAGTTTATTCATTGTAGGTTTTGTAAACCCTATATTTTTCTTAAATAACCAAACTGTTGTGCCTAAAACCAAGTTAATTATCTCTTTAAATATTTTATATCTTGGGTCTGCTTGATTTAAAAAAAAAAAATTAGCAATCTGTATCATCAACTCTCACAGCCATAATTCTATTCTGTTCTCACAGCAAACTGTGCAACTGCCATTAACATTAATAGAAGAGGTACTCACATGGCCTGATGGGAACAGGAGTCTATCGCACGGCTAACTGAGCAGCTGCTATAAATCCAAAAACACTCCATAGAATGTTTTTCTGCAGCACAATCTTTGCACTGTATCACACCTCTAAGTGACCATACAGCAAGGAGGTTCCTGTCCTCTGACACAGATCTTAAATCGTGAACAAGTATTTGCATTGTAGTAGTGCCTAGAGACCTCACTCAGGGATTAGGGGCCGACTATATTAGGTGCTATGCATCCATAACAAAAATAGCCACTCCACAAGCATATAATTCAAGTACTTTGCAGTCTAAAGTGACCTGGCACTTTGTAAACATTTGCCTTTAGGCACAATTGCTATTGTAGAATTTAAAGCCAGAAAGGACACTTGTGATCATCTAGTCTGACCTCCTGCACATTGCAAAACACAGAATCTCACTCATCCACTCCCATAATAGACCCAGTAACTCACCCAGAGGTTAGGAATTCCTTAAACACGTGTTTAAAAGTACTTTAAGCTACAGAGAAGCCACCATTTAAACCATGCTCCATGCTGCAGAGGAAAGACAAATTCCTTCCTCTGAGATCTCTACCAATCGCATCTAGAGGGGGGAAATATCCTTCTTGACCCCAAATAAGGAGATCATTTAGACCAGGGCTACTCAACGTGTGGCCCATTTGTTTGCAGCCCGCTCTGCAGTTTGTAGAATTGTGAGGTGTCCGGTATTTTCGCCTCCTGTCTGGTAAAAAAAATTTAGAAAATACCAGACAACTAAAATGTCCAGTATCTTCTGATTTTTTCCCCAGCCAGGAGGCGAAAATCATGGGTTCTTACTGGGTTCCGCAGGGGAGCTGTCCAGCCTGGTGCAGGGAGGCAAAATTGTGGGTGGGCGGCCACTGGCAGCCTGTTAAGGCCCAAAAGCGTTTCTTAAAGGGGCTTTTTTTTTTGGCATAACTCTCAAGGTCCTTTTTTTGCTCATCAACTTTGGTCTCCCCCTTTCCCCCACCCGCCCAACAAATTTTTTTTCCTGGTGGGTTTTTTTTTGGGGGGGGGGAGGGGGAAGGGAGGAAGGTTTGGTATTTTTGGTTAAACCATCTGGCAACCCTAGCAGTTTGGGTTTACATGGGGCTCAACACGCGGCCTGAGAGTGGGATCCTTTCAACATGGCCTCCACTGGGAGCACGTTCCACAACAGTGAGGCATCTCTCTGGTGGGGTGAGCACTGAAAGATATGAGTGGATGGGTTTGAGGAGTACAACGTGTTGGCATTTCTAGCCCCCAGGGAGGAGGTGCCAGGGGCACCAGGGCATTGTGGGAAGTGCTTTGTATTCATGCCCATCAGTGTGAAAGAAGCTATTTGCATATATATGCAACCACACTTAAGTTGTGGCCCTTGGCATATGCTGCTAGTATCATTGTGGCTCCCGGGGCTTCCAAAGTTGAGTAGCCCTGAGTTAGGCCCTGAGCATGTTGATAAGACCCACCATGTTGATAAGACCCACTAAACACCTGGGGGAGAATTCACTGAAATAACTCTGCAAACTCCCCATTTAGTGTCCCATCGGGGGTATTTGAAGATGGGCCACCTGCCATTGTAGGCAAATCTCACTATAGCATCGCCTCCATAAGCTCATCAAGCTCAGTCTTGAAACCAGTTCGGGTGTTTTGGTCCTCACTTCTCTCCTTGGAAGGCTATTCACTCCACTGATGGTTGAAACCCTTCATCTAATTTCAAGCCTAAATTTGCTGATGGACAGTTTATATCCATTTGCTCTAGTGTCAACATTGCACCTTAACTTAAATGACTCTTCCCTTCCCCCTGACATTTATCCCACTGATATATTTATAGAGCTCATTCATATCTCCCTGCAAACTTTGATTTGTTAGGCCGAACAAGCCAAACGTCTTGGGTGCATCTAGACTGGCAAGATTTTGTGCAAAAGCAGCTGCTTTTGCACAAAAACTTGCCAGCTGTGTACACTGGCCGCTTGAATTTGCGCAAGAACACTGACATTCTAATGTAAGAATTCAGTGCTTCTTGCACAAATACTTTGACACTCCCGCTCAGGGATAAGCCCTCTTGCACAAGAGGGCCAGTGTAGACAGGCACCTTAATTTTTTGCGCAAGAAAGCCCGATGGCTAAAATGGCCATTGGAGCTTTCTTGCGCAAAAGCGCGTCTATACTGGGCATGGATGCTTTTGCGCAAAAGCACTTTTTGCGCAAAAGCATCTGTGCCAATCTAGATGCTCTTTTGTGGACATACTTTTAATGGAAAAACTTTTCCGTTAAAAGTATTTCCGCAAAATCATGCCAGTCTAGACACAGCCCTTCAATTTTCCTCCCGTAAGTTAAATTCTCCATTCTGACAGTCAGGGGTGGTGGATATTATAGGCAGGAGAGGCTCCACCAGCCTGGCACCACCCATAGTCTGCCCCCAGAATGCCTACTGTAGGAGTACTGGGGGTAGCGTGTTGCTGCCACTGAGCTCCCATCCACCACATGCTCTGGAGCCACGTGCTGCCCTCTCAACCCACCCCATGGTGTTCTGGAGGGGTGGGAACTTGGCTCCCATGGGGGCGGGCCCTAGGCAGAAGAGGTGGGGCTGGAGGCTTATCTCCCTCAGCCCTACTTTCACCTACTGCCCACGCTGCCAGTCATCTTAGTAGCCCTTCTCTGCACCTATTCCACTTAGAATTCACCATTCCTAAACACGGATGACCAGAATTGCGCACACACTTCCAAATAAGGTCTCACCTGTGCCTTGTATAATTCTATTAGCACTTCCTCTCTTTATTGGAAATACCTTGCCAGATGCACCCTAGGACTGCATTACTCTCTCTCATTGGCACATGGGTCATTGCAACTGATCAACACACCCAAGTCGTCGTCATCCTCTGTTACTTCCAACTGATACAGCCTCAGCTTATAGCAAAAATTCTAGTAAAGAATAGCAAAAATACCATGTAAAATATTTATTTAATAAATGTATCTTATTCTTTGAGTAACTTCAGCATCCTACATTAGGCTTGCAAGAATTAGTTTTTTGTTGGTAAAGGTCAGAAACATCAGTTTCACTGTATGCACACAAATGGATAAAAAAGATGTTTCCATGGATGATAACTGAAATTTACAGCTTGGCAAAGTAAAATGCTGCTTGAGAAATACAGTCTGATTTAAGGCTATTTACTTTGTATACTTTGACATGGGATACTGACTATCTGTGTTTAACAATTATGAAAGCTCGAGCTTTCTGAATCTCAACATCCACTGTCATTAAATGATTATTACCTGAGACCCCCATAACTTCCCACAACTGTGAAAATTAAAAAAAAAATCAATACAAATAAAAATGCTTTAACCCATAATTTTTCAGAACTGTGAAATTAAGTCAATACACATGAAAATGCTTTAACATAATCAATAATATCCAGTGAAATGATAAAAAAATAAATTCTGACAGGCCTAATCACAGTTCATACTATCATTCTATGCCTTAAATATAAAATGCTCTGAACAATGGTAACATTTATGTTATTATTCCTACACTGCCCTCTACAGGCAGTTTTTGGCCAAGAACTCTATGTACTGCATCCTACTATTAAAACTCACCGTATCTATTCACAATGTCCATCAAAACCTTGCCTCTTCCTGTGAATGCCCACTTTATAGTGATTTCACTGGAATTATCTGCCCTCTCAAATAAACAAGAAACTACATTAACAGGGTCATCAATACTCTTACTCCCAGGGCAAATACTTTCAATTCCTTTCCTAAGGATCTTGAAAAAACTTCTGTGTTTCAAAGTTGTCGTCATCAGTGATTTCTGTTCTGATTTTGCAAATCGCAGTGCAGAAGGTAAAACTTTACATTTTGCTCCTGAATTCTCCCAGGTAGTTTCAGACAGATAATTACAATTATGCTCAGAGTCATTAATTAGTTTTATAACTTTCTTATCAGAGCATTTTAAAATCGTTCATTTCTTTACAAAACACGGGAGTTTCCCTTTTCACTGGAAGCACATCAAGTAGATCTATTGTTTAAACCTCTGCATGCTGGCAGGACAGTATGCATACATCTAGGACTTTGCACCTTGACATGGTCAATTTGCTCTATTTTACAGCATTGACCTCAGCAGTGCACGTCCCTCTGCAGATCTGTCCCCTTTCTGCACCTCTAAACTCAATTAAACCACTGTTTGTATTTCCATAGCAGTTTCCTAACAATACCCCATTTCACCCATTCCAAAAACTGATCAATCCCGTATTTATTACTATTATAGTAACAATGAGAGGTTCCCTGCAAAACTAAGGCCCCTGCATGCTAGGCACTGAACAACACCATTGTAAGGAACACTCCACACTAGCGAGTTATTTTGAAATAACTCCCTTTATTTCAAAAACACAAGCCAAACGTCCACATTACTAAGCCCATTATTTTGAATAATGGGCTGGTTATTTCAAAATAATAGCTCCTGCTTTCTGCAAGGAATAATGCTTCTTTCAAAATAGCAGTAATGTGGACACTTCAGTGCTCCTATTTCAAAACAACTACTACCCAGAGTCATTCCAAGTAATTACTCCCCAATGCTTCCTGGGGCTCTAAGTCAAGGTAGCATGCCCACAATAAGGAAGCCTGCCTTGGCCTGATTTCGAAGCTTCCCTGTAGTGTGGACACACTTTTGAAATAGCTATTTTGGGAGTTATTTTGAAATAATGTCCTAGGATAGAAATGCCCTCCCTGTCTCAGGATGCATACAGCTTAAATAGAAAAAGCAGGCAAAGAATGGGAGAAAGGAACATTTATTAGCCCTATGTTACTGATGAAGAACCAAGTTAGAGAAAGACTTGATCAAGGCCAAACAAAAACAAAACAAACCTGACCTCAGAATCCAAATATTCTGAATCCCAGTCCAAATCTTTACAGCCAGCCTTCGATACATATTAAATTGAGAGCGTCATAGCTAGACAAACTGCTACAATAAACCTGGCATTGCAAGTTGGAGTTGTTTGCTATCAGCAGTTTGGGGCCACAGAAGTTTCCATGAACCATTCTTGGTGTGGGAAGGAGAAGAAAATTGGGTTTACACCCACTGACCTTCACTCAGATTTCTAGCCCTTCAAAACCAAGCTCATCAGCATTAGGGAT